ATTTAGGTAGTTCTTCATCTCGTATGGGGATTGCCTGGTTACAAGTCGATCCATCAGCACCTCTTCATTCCTTCAATACATCTATTACCTTTCCTTGACCTTCTTTCTCTCTAGCTGAATTAGTAGCGGTTTTAGCTGCAATTCATGTTTCACCCCCTAACTCCATTATTAACATTTTTACAGATTCATAGCCTCTTATTCTAAAATAAATTATTTTCTTTCTTGCACCCCCACATACAATCCCATTTTCAAAGCTTCAAATTATCCTATTTGGTGTTCACTTTTCTGCCAGCTCAAAGAGAAAAATATAGATATCACTTTCTATAAAGTCAAAGCTCATGCTGATGACCACTATAATAATAAAGTTGACTGACTCGCTAAAGAAATAAGTCTACCTACAACTCTAATACAGTCAAAATTAGGATTCGACTATACTCTCCATTATAACAACCAGATTGTTCTGACGCCTCCACGACAATTTATTAAAGACATCCTCAACTCCATTGACTTTTACAATATTCAACTACTTCCACATTTTAAAAAATACTCAACACTAGAGGTAGACTGGATTAATACTACCTTCGTACTCAATGATAATAAAAGTAAATCAGTCACATCCTATAAGGCCTCCTCTATACGAAAATTCAAAGTCAAACTTCTGCTTGAACTCCTCCCTTCACTTGAGATACTCAAATTGCGTTACTCCAAGCTATATGATCCTTCATAACCCTGCCCTAAATGCCTTACTAGCTTGAAGAATTTCGATCATATCTGGCTTTGCCAACATACTTCACAACAAGTCAATGACATTTTATTAGATACCATCGCCTTCCTCTCTCAGCATTTGTCTGAACTCAATCAACAATTTGATATAGCAAGCATCATTTCAATGGATATTTGGAACCTTGATCCTACACACTCCTCTTTTAATTTCATTGACTTTATAAAAGGCGTAGTTCCATCCTTGCTTACAACAAACTACATCAAATAGTAAATAATAAGTCACTCGTCCGTGGTTTACTTTCCTCAACATATCACTTCACTCATGAAAAAATTAAAGCTCTTTGGCTCAACTGATGTATCACCTTAAAAAAATTTGAAGATGAACACAACTTGTCTCTCAAGGATCGAAAAGAAAATACTGTATCAACTGACTTTCTTGACTCCACCCCTCACATCTTTACTATCCCTCCCTACTTTCATAATTCATTCCTCTTTAGATCGCATTGGTCAAATTTTTAGAACGGTAGTAACCAGGCCTTCATACTGGATGGTAGAACCTATCTTAAATTAGTTTAAGGTAGGTTAGTCTAGAACGGTGTAAGGTTGGTTTTGATTTAGTCTTCACTAGATAGAAATTTTTGTACTCTCTCATTTGTAATTTGTAATTTTTTTTTACTTTACTTTTAATAAAGATTGTGCAAAGCTACCGCACGTAAAAAAAAAAAAAAAAAAAAAAGATAATATTTTTAATAAAGAATTAGTGTTTCTAGTTCAATTAATAACAATTGAGCTTCTATTGTGAATTACACTGTAATAGCTATAAGTTTAGGTTTTAGCTGAAGCATAAAACTAGATGATTTTTATAAGAATTTTATATATAACTAAACACGTGAGTATATAGACTAATATATGTTAAAAACTAATATATCAATTTATTAATCTACATTGATAATATCTAAATACTAGATTTAAAGAACATGTGAATGCAAAAAAGTTAGGGATTAACAGAAATTTAGCTTTTACTGATAGATCTATAATGGATACTGTCTTACGTCTTCAAACTCAAGGGTTCTTATACAAGTAAGGAAGTAGTTAATCAGTAATTAGTAGATCTAGAATATATTATAGACTGATTTATATGCTGCAGCTGTAAGTTGAATCTTATTACCATTAAAGTTAAAAACTAGGTTCAATTCTTAAATAAGTTTAACACTATAGATACAAAGCTACTATCATAAAAAAATCTGATCCCTTGATCTCAGAAGTTATTAATAGGATAAAACTCTATAAGTGTTAATAAAATCAGTGCATCAATCACTGTAGCTGAAGTGAGCTCTCTATCCAATTTTGATAATCAGTTAAAATCTGAGTGAGGGTTTGTTGATATGGAAATTGAGATTAAAGTTAGTGATTATTAGACTATAATACAGATGGCAACCTTCGCTATGTAGATGTATATAATAAGATTGCATAGTATTCATTCACGTGAGCCCTAAGGAGATGGCAGAATATTCGCATCTAAGAGTCTGCCTCAACCTATCTTCTAGAGTAAACGCATCTCTAAAAAAAAGATAATAATAAATTTTTTAATTTTTATCAGAAAAATCAAATATATATAAATAAATTTAAATTAAAATATGTTCAGATTTAATATTAATTCATTTTTTATTTTTTTTTTTATAATTTCTCCTTTTTATTACAGATGTTTCATATTAAGTATTTATTTTAGATAAATCTTTATATATATAAATAAATATAAATAATAATATTTAAGAGAACTAAAATAATCTTTTATTATTTTCTTATAAATTTAATTGTAAAAAACAAAAAATAATTAATTATAAGCTTTATTATTTATAAGATTTTGCTATAAAAATTACAATACTAAAAAAAGTAAACTTTTAAGTAATATAATGATTAATCTTATATTTATTAATTATTTTGATTACTTATAAAATAAAATGTTCTAAATATAAAAAGATACTTATAGTAATTATAGTATTAAGTTTAAAGGATTTTTTTTATTTAGCATTGAATAAGTTTTAGTTAGTAGAAATAATAATGAGATGCCTGATTTTATTTCTAACAAATTCCAAAACAAGCTATAACAATGGTTAGTAATATTACTTTGATTATGATTAATTTTTATCATGATTCTCACGTAAATATTAAATCATTATATATAAATAATATAACTTAATTAAGCCATATTTAATCAAAATAAACAAAAAATATTTGGTAATAAAAGAAATTGTGAGGAAGTTATATGTTAATTGGTTTGATAACTTTTTAAAATAAAAGTCTCATCTCTGAATATTTACTTAAAAACACCATATCGTTACCTTAAATTTGTGATTCCATTTGATCTCTAAGAAACAAGGAAAAATCTTTAATATTGTTGATATATATATTTTATGTAACTGTAAACAATTTTCTTGTATAAATCAAGAAACAGATTTTTGATTTCTTTTAAAAATTAGAAACGACCGCTTCTCGAAGCCGTTCCTACATGTGTTTTTCTTGCTGTTTGCCCAAAGGTTAAACTATTTTTGGTTTCATTGACTGAATCAGCAAATGGCGACACGTTGACTAGCATACATACTTTTGCAGTACCACCTTCATAAAAAAAAAATATTATATTAAAAACATAAAGAAAAAGATGTTATCAAAATTAAAAGTTATGCTTACCGAGTGAATATTTTAACAAGTTTGTCAACATCGAGTCACGATAGTTTACGTAACTCGCTTTATCCTTAATCTGTTGAATCACTGTCTTAAGGTCACTCAAGGATTTATTGATATTTTGTGTCTCTTTTAACTGATTGCCAGTCGAGCCTGATTTATCAATGTTTTCGGATCCTGCCAAATCAATGAGGCTTAAAGAACCTCGACTGCTAGCATTTCCAATTGGATATTCTCCTTCTAAATGAAATATAAATACGCCATGACTTCTTGATGAAACCAAATTAGAATTAGTTGAGGCCTTGGATCGACGATTTGAAGCTTTGCGTAACAAGCTTTCCATATCTTCCTTTCGGCTGACCTTACCTACATTTATTATCATTAGGAAATAATATATATACACAATATATATTTGTGTTTGTTTATTTATGAAAACACAATCGATAAATCGATAAAATAAAAATATTACGTCTTTCAGCATTCTCTACAATTGTCATGCGAGTACTTTCGTTGTACATTATCTTATATAAATCTTTGCTCTCCTTGTATGTTTTCTTGTGTAACTTCTTGCGCTCATTGTTTGTCTTGTTCTCATCACCAAGTAGGTCCTGAATTGTCTCATTATAAATTTCAACATATTGAACGTACGCTTCGAATTTCCATCCGAGTTTTTCTAATTCTTTAATTTTATCAAAAATTACATCAATGGCCCGAGGGATCATTCCTTTCTTTTCTGGATTGTTCACGTCACCTTCCATTGTATAGGTTTTTCCGGATCCGGTTTGCCCGTAGGCAAATATACAAACATTATACCCATCGATAGCTGATTGTACAAGTGGAGAAATTTCGGAGAATACTTGATCTTGGTCTGCTTTTTGATCGAAAACACAATCGAACTTAAATGTCGATGTGTCAACTTTCGTACGCCACAAAGACATTCTCTCGGTGGAAATTTCAATAGAGCGCTTATCATCAGAACATTTTAATTTAGCCAGTACAACGTCGTTCTCTCCATCAGTACATGGACGGACACGACACATTACCCGAATGTTACCCTTAAGGTCTAGAAGTTGATTATGCAACTCCTTTCGGGTATTTTCTTCTGAATTCAAGCCATTGTAACTTTCTTGAATTTGCCTAAGACGAGACTCTTGCAATGATTTTTGCTCTGCGATTTTTTCATTCTTGTATCTTAAGTCTTGATTGAGCTTTTGTACATTTTCGTGGAGCCTATTGTTTTCTTCATTCATCACGTTGAGTTGTTTGTCAAGCACCTTGAGTTCTTCAACATACGAGTCGGCTTGTTTCTATGATAATAGTTATTGATAAATAAATAAATAAATATATATATATTTTTTTTAGGAAACGGTAAATAGAATTTAATTACCTTTGATTGTTCAATATCTGCCAACATTATGTCGCAATCAAGCTTTACTTTTGTTAATTCATCATGCAACCCCGGGAACTCAGCTTCTATTGCTTTGTTGTATTCTTCAGATTCAGCAGCTTCCCGCTGAATTTCGGCCAATTGCTTTTTGTGCTGTGCAATTTCTGAACGGAATCTGGCTAATTCAGCTTTATTTAAATTGGCAGAAGATACCTTGCCGGTAAAGTTTCCTCCCAACTCATATGGAACCGGCCTTGTACCAGGATATGATGTTGTAGCATTTTTATGGCTAACAATCGATTTGTTTGATCGAAGCACGGGCTTCGAAGAGATAGGAAGCGTTTTAACAGTACTATTATTAATAGTTACCACCTTGTTTGAATATAAAGGTCTTCTTGGAATTGAAGCTTTCGTTAAAACCTTTTTAGTAGTGACGTTTTTTGACAAATTTCTTTCTGAGGTGGAAGCATTACCAGTAGTAGAACTAGAGGAAAATTTTCTTAATGGAAAAAAACAACGAACGTATTATTAAATATATCGGGATTTCTTTAGACATGTAATATATTTAAGTAATTATGAATCTGTTATAGGTAAAAAAATTTAAAAAACAACTTACTGTTTTACATTTCTACTGACCAGTATTTCTTCAGGAGCTCGCTTGCGTTTCGAGTTAGTTTTGTATTGCCTTGTCAACATTTTCAGAAAGGAATGGAAGCTTTGTAAAAAATTGTTCAAGTAACAAACAGCGCAAGAGGTTTTATTTATTTTTATTTTATTCGGTCTTCGAAATTGATACAACTGCAAATTCAAAATAAATATGAAAAATAAAAATTGTTTTAATAAACAAATGTATATAATTAACGCGTCTTTTTCATTGAAACCTGTTTGAGGCGCATTTTAGATGTTGACGTCAACTACAGTTGACCACATGATTAGAATTTTGCAATATTACAAGTTGATTAGATTAGATGGTTTTGCATTATAAACATTATCAAGGAATTGTAGTAGCATATTTTGGTTTTTTTTTATAAAATGAACAAAAATACATATAAACATATTTATAATATCTTTCCAAATATATATCTATTTAATCAAATGTGACTATTTACTACTTTTTTGGGGGGTTCACTTATAAAACACAACGTCCACTAATTTTTTTTTTTGTAATGGTCAATTATTGGAGAAAGAAAAAGATGGTACACTATTAAATGAATGAATATAATAAGTAAGAAGGATAGATCAATGAATAATAAAAAGGAGTGTGAAGGATGAGAATTTGCCGAGTGATAACTTGATTTGAGTTAAAAATTGAAAAGTAGTGATGTTGTATATATAAATAAAATAGTTTATATCCAATGTTCATAATGATTGAATTGTCAACAATTCGTTTTTTGACACATTAATCACATTCAAAGACGAGTTTTAATTTAGACCAAAATCCGAATGTGTCAAGTAAGATTGAGTATCGAGATAAAATAATAAATAATTAAAATATTATAGGAAAAACATGATTAAGAACTCATTGAAGTTAATATGAACCAATATAAACAGAAAACGAAATTTATATTTGTACATACTATGAACAAAGAAATGCAATAAAAAATTTATCTTACATCACTCTTGCCGTAAGTCTTGGCAAAAGCAACACCTCCGTTCACAATGACTCGACATTTCCATTAGTAATCTTTGAGTGCACCCTGAGATATATAGTGTCCGCCTTGTCCAAGACCCGACACTGGTCCTAATGGATGATGTGGGCCAGCGTTTGCCCCTGTTGGATATTGGTGGTGTAATTGCTGCAATTGTGCAGGAGTTGCACCCAACCCAGCCAAAGCACCAGCTGCTAGACTATTCACACCAGCACTACCAGCCCTTGAAGGTATATTATCGAGGCCCATCAGACTTGCCATATTCATTGAATTTGCTGCGAGATTTTGTTGTGCCACAGCTTGTTGCTGTTGTTGCAAACCTGAAGGTGCTAACGAGGAAAGATTGGCCGCTGCTGAAGAACCGCTCATACTACTCATATTACCCATCATGGGACGTTCTTCTAACATATCATACATAAGAACAAATTCTTTTTTGACCTTTTCCCATGAATTAGGGTCGAAATAGATATAGTTCCCACGTTCGTAATTCTGAGTCTTTGCGATTGGTTCTGTGCCTAACTCTTTTGTTAGCCAGAACCGATACTCCTTATGATATCGCCAATTACGATTATATCTGTTGATAAATTAAACCAGCAGCATGATAGAATTAATATATTAAAGGGGTTTGTTCTTCTATATGTAAAACATCTTAAACTTACAATTCTTGAGCTGCGGTTTCTTGTAATATGTCTCGAGGCATACTATAGAAAATATAAAATAATGTTTCTTCTGAAAATGACCCTATTTTCGATTGAGCTGGTGGTGGTGGCTGAACATTATAACATGATGGTAAATGGTACTCAGGCTCAATTAAACCGGCAATTTGATTATTTTCTGACCAAGGTGACGTAAACGTTGCGTAGAGTACACTATAAAAAGTAATATATTTATGCATTCATAAGTTAATTACTATTCCTGGTTTAAAGCCCATGAAAAAACGATAATGTTAAGATCTATACATACTCTGGAGAATTTAAATTTAATCCTAAGGTTGTTAGATCACTCCCTAACGCTAACATGCTTAAATCAGGATCGGTCATTCTTATTACACTTAATAAACCGAGCAAACCAAATTCATCGGAAGCAACAGACGATGGTGAAGATGATGATTGGTTTAGCGAAGGTGCACCACCTAAAGTTGATTGTAAATTGGGTATACCTATGGATGGTGGATATGGCGTACCCGTTAAGGTTGATGTTGTTGAGTATGGCGTTGTTTGATTAGCAGGTCCTGTTAATGAATACGGCATCATCAAAGACGACGAAGGAATTTGTTGCATTATTTGTACACTACCTCCGGATTTTGTAGAGAAGTTCTACAAATTAAAATTTTGATTGATTTGGTTTTTTTTGTTTGTTTTATTCAATTCGGTGAAAATAGAAAAAAGTTTGTTTTGAAAATTTCATTATATAAAAAATCATATATATTTGCCGGTAAATAAATTTTGTAAAATTAAAAATTACAATAAATGGTACGATATTTTGTGTGTTGCAATTACACACACACCTTTTTGTCTTGTTCGGACACGGAATTCACTTGTGGTTGACTCGGTGGTCTTATTCCGCCTGAGGATCACATCAAAGGAGCAAAATCTTAATTTTCGTATTCTGCACAAATCCCAATTATTAAGAATCAAACTTAACTAATATCCCCATATTTTAATGTTTAAAATTTAAATATGGGTAACATACCATTGCTTATCCGACCATCTTGGACTCCTGATGATGAAATATCCGTCGACATACTATTTCCATTGTTTAAACCATCCATACTATTTTGTTGATGATGGTTCACCAAATGATGTTGCGATACTCCTAGCTGTGAACCAACTATTCCACGATTTCCTGAATTACTTGTTGCACCAGGTAAAGCAGGAAAATCATCAATCGTAAACTCCTGCGTTGGTTGTTGATGATGCATGGACCTGTTATCATTCGAAGTAGCATTCGTTCCTGTTTGCGCCGTATTTGCGTAACTTGAACCCATTCCCGTTGCAGATGAATTATTCGAAGTTGTATTTGCACTTCCTAAAGCAGGAAATTCGGACATATCCAATGTGTCATTCTGTTGAGGATGTACGCTATGTATTGCGTTAGGATATGATGATGTAAAATTTTGATGCCTTGCTGAAATGGTTTGAGATGCTAAAGAAGAACCTGGAGTGAAATTCCATGACGGTACATTAGATCCTAAATTAATATTCGATAATATTATAATTAATTAAACGAATTGATCAATTATAATAATTTCTTGAATTGTTCATTGTTTAACATTGATCTTTTGAAAATTTCTTAGATCAATGTGGAATAGTTGAATTTAAAATTAAATAAACTCTCGATATAATACCAATCCTCCCATTGGCCCTAGATAATAACGAATTTCCTCCGGCGGTCCTTTGAGGCATCGATGTTGGAGGATATGCAGAATTAATTGGCCCCGGTCGATTAGCTTGTTGAGCTGGATTTACGACTGCTATAATTTAAAAAACAGTCAGCATACTTGCTCTGGCGAATAAATAAATAGTCAAAAATAATAATATTGAATAGCTCACCAGTCATACCTGACCGATTCATCAAGCCGCCTCCTGGTTGTGGACCAAATCGATTAGGGTTAGTAATTGTTTTAACGATATTACTGTTGGCAGGCATGGAGTCTTGTAAAGATTTTAAAAAAGAATACTGTTAAAGTTTATAATAAATGGAAAATTTTTTTTTATAATGAAAAAAATACTTACTTAGACAAAAAAGAGTAATAGTGTTGCGTTTTTTATCGGTTAGCTTTAAAAAATATTTTTAGAAGGTTGACGAGAGAAAAGCCAACCAGTTTGTATACTTTGTGTAAGGGAGCTTGCTATCTGGTTGTCTATTAATACAGTCTTTAATTGCGACACAAGAAAACGTCACAAATTAAGAGCAAAAATTTTCTTAAATCACATGACTTAATACACTTCAGTTGATCAGAAGATCAGCTCGCGTGGCGATATGATCAACAAATAAAGGGCGTTATTGTCACGTGAAATTGAAGATAATATATTAAGTAATTATAGAAAAGAATTTTATTATATTGCTTAAATAAATAAATAATTTATTTAATTAATAAAATAAATTTTTTACTCATAATATAATCTGATTATTTTAAATAAATAAATAACTTTTCATTCAAAAAAAAAAAACCAAGTCTAATTAATTTTTATATTTTATATTTAACAACATTTAGACAATTGGAATTTTTATATTATTTTTATTATTTTGCAAATAAATATACTTAAAATATTATTAATCAATTTTATTAAAAATATTATTTTATAATAAAAATTTTATCCTTTAGATTTGCAAGCAACTTTGCCTACTTATTTACTATAAATTTTATTCTGATTTACTTTATGAAAATCAAAATATTTTTAAATACTGATTAAAGATAATGCTGTAATTAATTGCAACCATGTGATGCTTATTTGTCACCAGTTGCAACTAGTTGCAACTTAATTTTTATTAATGTTGCAACTAGTTGCAACTTTGTGATACTTATTTGTCACTGGTTGCAACTAGTTGCAGCACTATCTTTAATACTAATATAAATAGTAATATAGAGAAAGTATACATATATATGAAATAGAAAAGAAAAGAAATATACCTATAATTAATTAAAATCAAATAAAAAAAAAAGAATATGATGAATAATACAATATAATATATTAATTCAACAATTATTACTATCAATTTTAAAACTAATGTAGCTATATCTAAATAATATTCTTACTAAAAAAAATAGATAAAATAGAAGATAATTTGAAAGATTACATTAAATTTATTAATAAATTATAACAATAAACATAATGTAATCATTTGTATTGTATCTGCATTAACTGATTAAAAAAATAAATATATAAATTTAAATATCTTAAGAAATACAATAACCATATATTTATCTATAAAGATAAATATAGACAACAGAAGTCATACTAAAGAAAAACAATCCTTGTATAAATTTACAATTAGATGTAATTATAAAAATGGCATGCAAACTTAAATCTAAAGATGGTGTTG